AATTCTCCTATATATCTCCTATAATTCTCCTATATATCTCCTATATATATCCTATATATACATATATATAATATCTGAGATTGTTTCCCAAATGATTCACTGATATGGACAATTTCATTTGTGGTTTAAGCATGAATCTGAAGAAGGGAAAAATCTTTTAGTATAAACTCCAAAGGTGAACACCCAAGTTCTCCTGTCTATGAATCCAGTGCTCTTTCCCACAGTTTGGTTTTTTTTCTCTTCTTGAACTCATTGCATTATTTATAGCACATTTATGAGCTGTGGCAGGAACAGTTAGGATATATTTGGAATCATATTTCATAAGGATATTATTTTTATTTTTATGAAGGCTGATGAGTATTGTAGAGCTCCTGTTGGGTCCTTTGCTATCGGGAATTCATAAATTCGTGCAGCCTAGGAGAATTGGTCTTACCTGTGTTAGGAAATGCACTCCATCCACTGGCAGGGGAAATACACAATCCCCAAAGTTTTGATGATCACTAGGATATTGAGCAAATTTTCCCTGAGTGAAACGATCAGAATTCTAAAGTCAAAAACTTCAGTTGCATTTCTACATGTTTGTTAATTATATAAACATATATGACAGAATCCTTTTAAAATGAGATCATTTGCATATAGGACTGAACTCCTATTTTATATGTCATATGTTAAGACTTTCTGTAGACAGAATTTTGTGTTAATGGTTGATAATAAAGAATAATAATGTCTTAAAATACATTAATCACTTTGTTTCATCTGAAGAATCACTTATATAGCAAAGGGACCTTATTAGACAATGTTCTCAGCACTTTCAATATATATATATATGTGTGTGTGTGTGTGTGTGTGTGTGTGTGTGTGTGTGTGTGTGTGTGTGTGTGCGCGTTTGTTCTGAGACAAGGTCTTACTCTGTAGTCCCTGCTGGATTTGACTTCATTACCCTCTTACATTAGCTTCCTAAACATTTGAATTACAGGTACGTGCTGCCACACCTGAGTTGTAAATAGGCTTTGATCTGGAGCAATTTTAAATTAGGATGCTAAGGATCCCTGATTGAATATAAATTTATTTAGAAATATAGAATTTGCCTTTACATTTCTAATTTTAAATTCCCAAGTTGTCCTCTAAATAAGCCCTGGATACTTTGGTTAAATATATGGTACTTTCAAAGAAAAGATTAAGACATGGATGACAGTGGTTACAGAGTTACCTCTTTAAAACCTTGTGAATGATTTGCAGGTGCTGGGAATTAAGCCACTGAACACCACCAACAACCAATACTGTCTGGTCAGTATTCTCTAAGGGATGTGATCTGAAATCCAGAAAGAAAAACAACACATGTTGCTTTGGAACAGATGGTAAACATTTCAACTGGATTGCCTCACATTTCAATGAACCATGTCTGGCTTCCTGATCACAAGACTTCCTTGTCATTTGCAGCTCGTTTTCAGCTACATTAGTGGGTATCTAAGCTTTTCAGCACATTTGATATACAGGGTGCAATTATGACTGCACAATGGTGGCATTTTGCCACTCATAGTAGTCCCATTGTACCTTTGCAAGAGATGCTCAAGTGCTTTCTCAAATGTTGGTCTCAACGAAGGGCTTATCCAAAACTGGGGATAGTAGGAGTAACTGATCAAAGTCTTCCCCCCATTGACACTGGGGTAGAGTTTAGTGCCGTGAACTTTCTGCCACTCCTGCAGGGTTTCATTCAGCCTTTCAATAAGATAGTACATCATTCCTCTGTTGGTGGAATCCCCAATGAAAAGGATCTGTAAAGAAACCGTACTTGCTGTCAGGTCAGATGTTTACATGGTATATAATACAATGCACGCAAAATTACACATCAAAGAACAGCCCTTCAGCCTTTGGAAACATCCTCAGTCTTACCCATCATAATCTCCCCCAAACCTGATCATTTATCCCTTTCATACTGTTATAATGACATCATCTCCTGATCGGCTAATTAGTGTGCAACACTGCCATTTCATTTTATTTTCCATCTTCCTCTCTCCCTTATATCCTTCACTTTAATTATATTCATCTCATCAGCTAACAAGTCTTACTGATGTAAAGATCCATGGACTATTGCAGAACTCTAGGGATCCTTAGGATTTTCAGACTTTGTTTGATAGACCTGCAAACTGAGAACCCACAGAAATAGCTCCATAGGAATCGTGCCATTACTTAAAAAAGAAAGGAAGAAAGTAACCCGGACTGGGATCTTTCTGAGCAGTATTTCACACCCCACCCTGCATATCCCAGTGGTGTTTTCCAGTGAAGGCTGCTGCACTGCCAGCCCAGCCCAGCTTCTGGCTTGCTCTCCCTCGAAGCTGTGCTATTGTAAACGCACCGCTCACATCTTCTTCGCACTCCCATTCATTTAACATTGTCTTATTTGTGTGCTCAAAACCATATTCATTCACCATTCCCTACAGAGTCAATTCTGAACTATTTAGGTTCAGCTAACAGTTACTGAGATTTTATTGCTTAATAGTTTCTGTTATGTGGAGATTGCCACAGATGGGAAATTTGAGACTTGGGAAGACTAGGGTCATAAATCTAGTAAATGGGGAACACAAGACTCAAACCCAAGTTCTCTGACTTCAAGTGCAGGTCAGTGGCCCACCTTCTCAGTGCATCTCCTCGTATTAGTGGGCCAGACTTAGGCTTTCTCATGGAACATGATTTGTATTCTACAACATCTGTTTTTCCCTTGTATTAATCCATCTGCCTTGAGAGTTCCTCCCTGTACAATCGCACCTGTCAGCCATCAGAACTGACATAAATGGTGCTCCTACCAAGGGTCTCCTCTAGTGCCCCCGCTAGAGTGACTCACTCTGTATCCTATGATTCCATGAAATTTTAGTTACATTATAGATTTTACCAAGGGCTACATGATGTGATGGCTACTTGCATCTGTGTCCTTCCCCCATATCTTATTAAGAAGTATTTGATAGATAAATTTCAACGTCTGCTTTCCCTCCTAGTGCCGTATATACTTGTGAAAAGTGCTTAGTGAATTGAAAGTAACAGGGACTTTCACTGTAGACAGTTCCTTTGAATGCTTTGGATAAGGTTTAATTCATTCTTCAGTTTTTTTTCTCTTTGAAGTGATGCACATATTTCCTCTATTAAGATCGTAACAGCATGTACTGCCATCGGTTCTAATTTTGAATTACTTACTAAATTCACTACAGTGAATTCACTGTAGTGAACTTAGTAAGACTCTGAAAAGGCTTATACTTCTCACCGTATGCTGAAGAGCCTCCAGATGGGGCCTAGATAGCTGCTAAAATTAGCCTTCAGATACAATACTGTTGTGATAAACATGGCTGCCAAATAGAACATGGCAGATCTCTCACTGATGGGTGTGGTCAAATTCCAGTGGGATGATAAGATTCTAGCACAGTAAAACAGTGAAATAAATCAAATTGATTCTTATAGGCTTTATCTCTGGTTTTACGGTCTAGATTTTTGATTTTTGAAAATGATTTATTTTTAGTGGTGGAGACTAAACCCTGGCCCTCACTGACACTAGGCACTGAACTGTTTCCAATCCTTTTGTTACTTTCTATTTTGAGACAAGGTCTAAGTTGCTCAGGCTAGCCTTGAACTTGCTCTGCAGCCTAGTTCTCAAGCTTGTGAACTTCTTGATTCAGTCTCACAAATATCTTGGATTACAGGTTTGTGGCAACAGGTTAAGGAGAATTCTTACTTTTCAAGAGGACTTTTGAACCACTAGGAAAACTTGTCAGGAAGTAGCAACCACTCATATACTCCTGTGTTAGTTTGTTGGGGCTGTTTACCACAGAGAGAATGGCTTCAATGACAGACATTCATCTCTGTACATCTCTGGAAGCTAGAAATACACATCCAAGGGTCTGACAGGGCTGTTTTCTTGTGGAGGACTCTCCAGTTGATGGATGGTGGCCTTCTCTGTCTTCCTGCTGTCTTCATTTGTGCCTCTGTGTCTTAATCAATCACAAACACTCTGGACATCCTGGATTTGGTAGAACACCCATGTAACCTCATTTTTTCCCATTTGCCTCTTCAACAGCCTTATGTCTGAACTTTCTGAGTAACTAGACATTAGAATTTCAGCACATGAATTCAATGGAAATGATATAATTCAACCCAGAACACTAAACTAAGAATAGTTTATACAGAACTTTTGTTGTTATTGTTTTACAATAGGGTCTCTATAAAGTCAGAACTGGCCTGTAACTCATGATCCCCCTGCCTTACCCTTTCAAATGCCAGCTAAATATACTAAAGCTTTCTCATCGCTTCTTTTCATTTCCATTTTAAAGTTAGTTCTTCCTGGGCTGTGAGCCTTGCACTCGTTATCCCAAACACTGCAATTCTCTAATGTGGACTACAGGGAGATATGAAAGTTTAGACAAGCCAAAGAAATTGCTTATTCATACAAGAACAATGCCCACACATCTAGGTTTTCAGTCTTTCCACATGGTTATATCTAAAGCTCACCAAGGCACATCAGAAGCAAATTAGCCCTGTTTCAAAATTCCCCGGTGCTGCTCCTTACTAACTAGGAAATATTTTAAGTAAATAGGGTTCATTTCCTCATGTATAAAACTGAGGAAATAACACCAGAGGGCCTGAGTAAAATGTCAAGTACTTACTATTGGCATTCTGAGAGTGCCGGATGAATGCGTGCTGGCATCAAACTACAAGAAAGATGGGTAGCACTTTTTTTTTTGTTTTGTTTTAGGTGCACATTTCATGGTGCTTGAAACTCATTAGCACACAGAGAAACATGGTAGAAGTGAGAAGTTTCGAAGTCCCAGCTGGCTCTCTTCATCCCCGTCAAGCCACCAACCATTGTGTGCAGCAAGCCTGAAAAGCAAAACTCCGGTACTCTTAACAGGGCACTGGAGTTTCCATATTGGGTTGGTGGTCAGGAGGAGCCACATGCAGACTGGCAGATGGTGTCTGCTCCTTCACTAGCAAGCAAGATTCTATTCTTTAATGCAGGCTCTAGATAGCTGCCAAGACATAGGCCTCAGAAGAATTTTCTGTTGGGTGAATTTATCCAAGTCTTTACATTTATGAAAGGCAGAAATGATAAAACTCTAACTAAAATATTCAGTGATGATCTTAAAGTCGTTCTATTGATGGAAAGGTTTTGCCAGAGGTAAGTTGGCAAACATAAACCTAACATCAAAATGTCAGCTCATTCAGTGCACAGAGCACAATTAAATGATACCATGAAGCAGGCGTTGGGTCTCCAGAGCAAGTGGCAGGATAGGCTCCAAAGCTACACAAAGAAACCCTGTCTCAAAAAACAAAAAATAAAAAACAACAAAAAGTGATATCATGAATTACATGGCTTTTCAGTCATGTGATTTACTTTCAATTTTTATATGCTTAAGATAATTCAGTTTTGTTGAATGATTAAAGGAAATAAATGATTCATTTTGAAGGACACTTTTTATTTTAAAAGGTTTATAATATCATAGCAAATAGTTGTGACTGTCTATTGAGGTGACAAAGAGTCTCCCATAAAAACTATCGCCTTACACTGGTGTGCAAAGGGACTAGTTGGCATAAAGTAATCAAAGAGGAAAAAATGTGATCATTAAATACAAATGCCCAGTAAGCATTTATAACAATAATCAACTTTGATAATATGATGCTAAAGTAACTAGTGCCTACCCCCAAGTTAAAGAGAATTTAAAAACTCAATGACCTTTTGGGGATCTAACAAACAAACCACTTTATATATTACTAAGTGCCAGACAAGTAGGCTTTTTTTTTTTGGTCTTTATTATTTTGTTATACTCCTTTAAAAAACTTTTTTTAGTGATTTGTTTTTATCTTATGCATATTTGTGTTTTGGCTGAATGTCTGTCTGTGTGAGGGTGCCAGATTTCCTAGAACTGGAGATATGAACAATTGTGAGCTGCCCTGTGGGTGCTGGGAATTGAACCTGGGTCCTTTAGACAAACAGCCAGTACTCTTAACCACTAAGCCATCTCTCTAGCCCCCTTCTTTTGCTATGCCTTTAAGTCTGGAGTGACTTGAACTTTTCTGATTGGCACATAAGTATTGGTCAAATAGGTGGATTAAAAATGTTGAGCTGTGAGCCCAGCCTTTAATGGTTGACCCTTCTCTCCAGCCCTACAACTGTGTTGTTTTGTTCACCCAGTGCCACTGCAATTCCTTGTAGCCTCAAGGTTGAGAAGCAGGGTTCTCATGAGGTACCCCCATCTGTCAGTAAGGCAAGGCGTGGCTCAGCTGTCATATGCAGCTGAAACAGGTGAGATGGTAACGAGATTTAGGTCATGATGAAAATCTAGCTCAATGAAACATTTCTCTGTGAATTTTGATATGGCTATAATGAATGAATGTTTTCCAATTATGCAGGTTTTTTTTTGTTTTTTGTTTTGTATTTCAAGACAGTGTTTCTCTGTGGCTTTGGAGGCTGTCCTGGAACTAGCTCTTGTACACCAGGCTGGTCTGGAACTCACAGAGATCCACCTGCCTCTGCTTCCCTACTGCTGGGATTGAAAACATTCACCACCACTGCCGGGCCTCCAATTATGCATTTTAATTATACTGGCTATCCATGTGCAGTTAAACTGCTGTTTTCGGTCAAAATAAATGTAATTTAAGCAATCCACTCTGAATCATACAAAATTGGGCAAGAAAAGGAAAACAAATGTGTAGTGGCAGTGGATTTATTACTTTTTTCCTTGGACAAAATGGTTTGTCTCTACTGTCATTTTGTCTGGCCTGTTGCTGGAGG